ATTTTGATAGTTTAATACTTAGCGTTATGTCTTTTGGGATCATGATCAGCACAAATGTCATACGTGGTTTCCACGTATTTTTGCAAGCTCAGCATGAGAATGCCCTTTTACCCTCAAGTGTCCTACAGCTATTCCAATAGACAAGGCTGTCTGCCTTTATCAACTGTCTTTTTTTAAAAAGTTTAGGTATTTGCCATAGGGCACATGTGCTTGCCAAAGAGATACAGAGACAGAGACAGAGAGAGCCAGAAAGAGGGAAAGTGAGAAATCACCCGCCAGGAGAGATGGCCACACTGCAATCCCTTCTCCGTTCTCCTCTCAGGAGTTTGGACATACATGCACATGTTCCCAGCATGATTTTCAAGCTGCCAGGTCAGGACTCAAATCATGGTTGGCCATGTGAGAGTCCACTGCCTTAGCCAGCATGCTACCTGTTGGCCCCATTATCAATGATCTTAATTGTAGCTGAATCTTTATGTCTGAAGAAAGACTGTATACACCATAAATACAATTGGAGGATCATCTATGATACCTGGAACCATACTACTGCCTTATTTCCAGGTTTATTCTTTTGCGTTTGTTTACTTGTTTTATATATAAATACTTTTTCTATCCACTATCCCCTTTCATTCCTCTGAGTACCTCATTCTCTACAACACACACACACACCTACAACCAAGATACACACACACTCTCATACATATCTCTTGACTCTTTTGTCTAATTAAGACAAAGTTATTATGAATAGCTATAACAGTTGTATGCTTATTACAACAACGAAGATTCAAACAACTCCATTTTGAAGGAAGTTCTCTTTATATGGTCAAACATATGAAGAAGTCATCTTGATTAAATAAAGATCACTTGACTCAGAATACGTCAGCATATTTTGTTCATATTATCACTAAGCACACTATCATAAACTATTAACTGACTGCACAAGATTATGTAATACAATGTAGTTTTTGAAACCACTGAAATTCCTTCACTTATATACTACTATTTTTTAATGGCATTCCAGTTTTCACATTCCACGAGTCTTATAATCGACTCTCAAATGGAAAAATAATGTTACTATATAGAAGGTTAAATTCCATTTGTAATATTAGTGGCACAGAGGTTCAACATTTTAAGTAAAACTATTTAGACACATTACCTCTCTCCTCATTTTTGTTTTTAAGTAACTTTAATATCAGAACTTTTCTCTTGGGGGAAAAGTACTTCAGGGATTGAGTTTTTAATTACATATTTTAATTGTAAAATACAGATTTATCTTATATGTATTCATAAAAACAGAAATGAAAGCTGTTTTTTAAAATTATTCTGTTAAGGGCATATGTCGCTAGCATTTTCAACTAGGTCTCTGTCATTTAAAGTACCAGTGAAATAATGGATGACATACTATAAAACTGAAAGACCTTGGTTTATGCAATTCAGAATCAACTCCTTGGTTGTCTGAGTCAGTTGTTTCAAGTGTACCTTATTAACAAATACCAGTGGGTGCAGTATAAAACAGTTAGTGCTAAATGTCAAGCCTAACTGTGAATTTTGTTCTGTATTTTAAGTACTTTTTTCTTTTAAGAGGTTTTTGCTATAGGGTGCGTACGCTCACCAGACAGACAGAGAGGGACAGAAAGACAGAAAGTGAGAAATCACTCCCCAGGGGGGAATGGCCACGCCGCAATCCCTTCTCCTCCATTCTCCTCTCGGGATCTTAGGCATGCACGCACATGCGCCCAGCATGAGTTTTAAGCCACCGGGTCTGAGACGTAAACTGCGGTTGACTACATGGGAGTCCAGTGACATAGCCATTACACTAACTGCTGGTCCCTTCTAAGTACATTTTTGGTAATGTTCCCAAGCTATCAACAAGATATGTAGCTTTAGTTGTATATTATTATTATTATTTTAAAGAATTATTTTTATTTTAACTTTATTTGTTGTTACTATTTTACAATTTGATCAGAGAGAGAAGGAAAGTAAGAAAGCAAGCCACCTGCTTTTTTCCCCCTGTGAATCTAGTTGTCAATTTCTTTTGTAGACTAAAAATCACCTAACCTATAGAGGGAAGGGAGAAAATTTAGGACTTCCCCACCACACTTACTCAGCCTATGACACTTATCTCACAAGATTACTGTGAGGATCAAGGGAGGTGGTGCCTGCAAGCCATTTGGCACGATGCCTGGTGCACGGTGAAACTCATGGAGCACCAGGCAGTGTTAGGATAGTGCATTCTATTTGCAAATGTCAGAAACCCGTCTCCATCCTGGTGTGGCTGGATCTGCCTGCTTAGGTGAGGCTGTTAAGGATCTCCCCTCTTTGCCTCTCAGTTTTCTTTATTCTTTTGTTTGTAGTAGGGCGCATGTGCTCACTGGAGAAAGACAGAGAGGTAGTGAGAGGGTATATGAGAAATACACACACACACACACAACACACACACACGTGGGATGGCCCCACTGCAATCCTTTCTCCTCCATTCTCCTCTTGCGATCCTGGGCATGCACACACACATACCCAGTGTGATTTTCAAGCCAGCAGGTCTGGGAGTTGAACTGTGGTCAGCCATGTGGGAGTCCAGCGCCTTAACTACCACATTACCTGCTGGCCCCAGTTGTATATTATTTTTTTACAAATAAACATAGACTTGTATTTTTTTAATAAATAAATAAATAAATAAATAAGCAAAGTCCTCCTTTCAGCATCACACTTAAACAGGGATCTATTAAAAATTTCTATTCAATAATTAAATAACTAGGGACTGGCAAGTGGCGTGGTGGTTAAGGGTGCTGGACTCCCACATGGCTGACCATGGCTCAAGTCCTGAACCTGGTGGCTTTCTTTCTCACTCTCCTGTCTTTCTTCCTCTCCCTCCCTTTCTGGTCAAAATTAAGAATAAATAAATAAGTAAATAAAAAAGTTTAAAAAAATAATTAAATAACTAGAATTTTGTTTTTATCATTACAACTTTTCAGGAACCATTTTTAAATGGTTCTCAAAAAGACCTTCTAAGGTAAGAGCTCCTTCCTCCTTGATACCTTTGTGACAATTGTCCTTCTGGCTCATTTATCCAATAACTTCTCCCTTGGCTTGTGTATCTGATCAGTCTCTTCTCCCCCTCTTCATGCCTATTTTTTTTTTTTTTTTTTACTTTTTCTCTGCCATCTGTCTCTTATTGTTGGTACTCTACCCTTAGTTACTTCTGTTAACAACTTTGTGGTTTCCCAAAGAATTTTCATGTACTTTACACCATTGTCTACTTCCAATGCAGTAAGAAAGCAGGGGTGACTCTTTTACTTCCATACTTCTGGTTGTCTACTAGAAATTTCCAAATAGATGTCTCTTGGTCCTTTCATACTCAATCTTTCTAACTCATATTTTCTCACACCCTCACACTCACTTTTTTCTGTTTTCTTATATTCCTCCTTTTGGAGATGATTATATTAGCCTAATCTCCTAAATTAGGCATTTCAAAGTTCCAACTCCCTGCCACTTATTTTAGAAATTCAATCTGTTATCAAGCACAATTAATTCTACCTGCAAATACCTCTTTAATCTCTCTTTTCTCCTTATTCCAGCCTCATAACCCAGGTGGACTCTCATCTTCTCTTTACTAGTAAAATAGATTTTCAGTTGGGCTTTCACTTCTAATCCATCTCTCACAATACTGACAGAATTATCTTATCACACCACCTTGCCTCTTAAATCTCTGTAGCTTCTACCTCCTTCATTACCTATAGTTGAATTTTTTAAACAAGTCTGGTGGGTGAAGGAACTATATCTTCTTGAGGTATTACTATGATTCAATAAGTAATCTAAGTATAGAATAGCCTCAACAAAAATACAACAGAAGAGTTCATAAAAATGTTATGATCCATCTAAAACTTCAAATAAAGTCTGTGTTTGCTGTGGGATGTTTCAGATCTTTGCATTACTCTTTGCAGTATTGCAGAGTTAAAAATGAAGAACACTGGTCCTTAGGGAAACCCTGAGTGAGCTAATCAAGTCTCACATAATCTGGCACTAATCGTCCCTTCAGAATCACTTCACATCACTTTTCTCTAGAATCTGATGGGATGATATATCCATGGGACAGTCACTGTAATATTTTTGTTACCTTCACAAGAAGACTCATTGATGATCATCTTCATCAGCTCAACATCACCTTCTGCTGCAGCATGATGCAAAGGGGAGGCATTTGTGTCATCGTATTTGTTTAATTTCTTATGTTTCTTAATGATGTTTGGTAAGTGACATTTGCTTCCTTCAAAAACCACCTAAATGTGTATAAAAAAAAGTTACCTCAAACAAGCATATGTAAAACTTAAGACTATAAAGTTAATCATTTTATAGCCTTAAAATTTTATTATTATCAAAAACTGTTTATCATGCTTATAATAAGGTTATTATTTTCTTTTTATTGCCAGAGGTAGGTGGACTCACCTGAAAGAGACAGAGAGAAAGGGAGAAAACATCCCACAATGGAGCCTGGTCACACCCTAATTCTTTCTCCATTTCTCCATCCTGTTGAGTTTGGGGCATACACACATGCATACCGAGCATGTTTATCAAGCTGAGAGGGCTGAGATTTGAATCACAATTGCCCGTGTGGGCTCTGTCTCCCTTTAACCACTAAGCTATGGAGCTGGCCCAAAGGTAATTTTCTTTTTTAAGAAAACAAAATGCTTACAGATAAAAAGAATGTTCATGCACATACCTAAGCATTGAAAAGTATATTAAATATTTTCTTTTATTTTTCTGATCATAAACTTGAATATACTATAGGAAAAAAAGGCCTTGGGAAAAATATGGAAGTAAGCAACAGATGTGATCTGAGAAATAAGTATAGTTAAAATATAAGTGTCATAAAAAAATCTCATAGAAAATGCCAATTATGAACAAAATTATGCACAGAGCTCACCCTACAATATCAGAGTTGACATTCTGCTTTTGATTCATTCTCAGAAGTTATGAAAAAGTCCAAACAAGGCTTTGTCTTGGAAATCCCATGTCTGAATAGAATTAAATTACTAACAATTAAGCAAATCTTTAAAAATCATTTTATTTAACTTATTTAACTAATGTCATATGTCAAAGAAAATGTTACAAAAGCTTTCATGTCATAAACTTGTCTCCATTATCTTATCTTGCATTATGATTTAAGTTGCTATAAATATTTTAGATTAAAAAAGCATATCTTTGTTTTTAAATTAACTAATGCATCCTTTCTTAATATCTGTATTAACTGACAGTGTATTTCTTTATTCAACTACTTGAAAGTTAATAACTAAGCCATCCATTAGTGCGGTGGTTAAGATGGCTGGATCCCACGTCGCCAACAGCATGGGTTGGGTCCCAGATCCACCAGCTTGAAAAATATGTGTGTGCATGTCCAGAATCTAAAGAGGAGAATGGAGGAGAAAGGGTTGCAACATAGCCATCCTTTCTGGGGGAGGTGGGCAGGGGAGGATGAATCTTCTCACTTTCTCTCTCTCTCTCTCTCTCTCTCTGTCTCCCTCCCTCTCTCTCACAAGCACATTTGTCCTGTAGCAAAAGGAAAGAAAAAAAAAAGAAGAAAAGAAAAAGTTGTTCATATTTGTTTTACATAGAAAATTAAGGATTTTCAAAATCATTAATTATAGTTGTATTTTATTGTAGTTCAATTGACTGACAAGAGTTTTTTTTGTTTTTCGGTTTTTGTTTTTTTGGGGGGAGAGGTTATTGCTATAGGGCATGTGCGCTGGCCAGAAAGACAGAGAGAGACAGGAGACAGAGAGGAAGAAAGTGAGAACTCACCCCCCAGGGGGAATGGCCATGCTGAAATCCGTTCTCCCCCATTCTCCTCTTGGGATCTTGGGCACGCACACACATGCACCTGGCATGAATTTAAGCCACCGGGTCTGGGACTCGAACCGCGGTCGACTACTACTTGAACTGCTAGCTGCTGGTCCCTACTGAGAAGAGTTTTATTCAGCGTGGCACTAGAATTTTTACCTATATTTGAAAGTGATTACTTAGGTATTATCAGTAAATTGGAAATACATACCTTATTCTAGTGCTAACATGGTTTGCATGGTTTTGATATGATGCTATTATTGATCATACAGTGGATCGGAGATGGCAGAAATGACATTTAATTAGATATTCTGATATTTGGCTACCAGAGGCAAGCTCAAAGTCAAATCTCACTTGCAGATCTTGACTCAAAACTGAGGTTGAAGCCCAGTGCTATGGCCCTGAGTGGCACACAGTGGCATTCCCAGCACCATTCTGTGTTGCTGTATTCATGTCATGCTTGAGCTCCACTAGTGTCCTACCTTATCAAAGGGCAACTGCTTGTTTTCCTGCTCCCAATCCGCTTGGCCTCCCATAGCCCTTCTCAATAGTCCCTCTTCCAGGACGCCTTCCTATAGTTTTAGCATATGCTAAAGTCCATACTCCAGTCCAGCTGCCCTCTCCTTCTCTCTCCAGTTCACTGTGGAATTTTCCAGGTACCATAAGATGTGTGGTGACCTCACAGCACTGACAGGTGCTGGAATGTGTATTTCACATTCTTGTGTTCTACATTTTTCTCAAATTTAATTTTAATGTAGGAAATATTGGTAGCTGTAGCTCAGGTAAATACATGCTTCAGAATTTTCCATATTGTTTCAATTAAAGGGGTTCCGAGATACAAAGCTTGACAAACAATCTCTAGTTCTTTCTTAATCTCTCATTTTATGGTCACTATCTAATAATGTTAATATGTGCTACGTATTTGTATACTTAACTATCACATGATGCCTTCATATACGTGAGTAATTTTTCCAAGGAAAGTAAAGGTGGCAGGGAGGGAGGGAAAGAAGGCAGGGTGAATAAAGGGGAAAAAGGAAGACACAGAGGAACAGGGCTCTTACAGAACAGCAGGTTAGGCCACGTGGACTATATATACACACTAGAAATTCCCTAGACTATTTCGTGAAGTTTAATTCCCAAGAGGCTTAAAATTTAATGTAAAAGATAGGAAAAAGTGTTAGAATCTTCATTCCAGTCCAATAGCCACTTATAGGCTACAACTGTTTCTCAGTGTTCCCTCCAGCTTTGCAATATGTGACCCAGTAACACATTTGCCTGCAGTTTATCCAAAGCCATTTCTTAGCAAATATTTCATAACATGGACCAAAAGCTAAACATTCCACATGTCAGTAGCTTTTCATGGAATCCTCTGTTAAAAGACTATTTTCTGAAGAGGCAGACATCTCCACCAAACAAGCAATCCAGACATTTGCTTTAGTTCTACCTTTGACTGTGACTAGTCACATTCTACATGACAATTGAAGGGTCAAAACTCTAACTTGTCACTTTAAAGATAACCAGAGCATTTCTCACTGTTAAAAAGAAAAGCGATCAAATAAGATGAAGTGTTAACGTATTTAATGTATTGTAATATAGTTAATAAAATATTTAGTATGTTAGAATTCATTAAGTGTTAGGTTGAAATAAATAAAACTTAGTCTTGTAAAATTTTGGACTTTGTGTTTGGCCTCCGTTATCACAAAATATAGTACCCAAGGGACCATCAGTTAGCGTAATGGCTATGTCGCTGGACTCCCATGTAGTGGACCACAGTTCGAGTCCCAGATCTGGTGGCTTAAACTCACGCCAGCTGCGTGTGCGTGCGTGCCCATGATCCTGAGAGGAGAATGGAGGAGAAGGACTTGCGGCGTGGCCATCCCCCCTGGGGGGTGATTTCTCATTTTCTGTCTCTCTGTCTCTGTCTGTCTGGCAAGTGCATGTGCCCTATAGCAAAAATCTCTCAAAAAAAAAATAGTACCCAAGAAATCACTCTTTAGGGTAGTCTCTTAAATAGAGATCTCACTTTTCAGCTAAAAGGTTGAATTTTATACAAGTAGTGTATAAAATTTTATACCAGTATTGTATTTATGCAAATAGCTTTAGTGCCTGCAGAATATAATGATTAATATCCGACCATCTTAAATTTATGCATATGCAGTAATTAATATGGACTTTTTACAGAAATAGGCTCTTTTTCAATGTCGCATCCTATCAAAGAAAGGGTTTACCTAAATCCATACAGATCCATTTTAGCACTGGAATGTGATATGTTTTTCAGGTGATAATAAAAGATTATACTGTGCATTTTCAGTGCATGAAGGAAGAATATACAGGTCTGTTTAGTGATGTGCTATCAACACAAACCTGATTTAACTCTCTACAGGAAGTACCAGGTTTGGGTGTTCATAGGGTACCACTGGGTTCACAGCGACAAAGAGCTATAGTCTCAGTTCAGAACCTGGTGTATCGTCAAGCTTTAAAGAGATTTCTTTAAAGTTCTGATAGTAAACTGAGGGTATCATTTAGACAGATTATATATTCAGTTAATGTAGTTTCTTACTGCCACAGTGTCACTTCACATTCTGTCAGATTCTAAACTATAATATATGATTAGGTTCAGCACATAATGAAATAGATCACTTTTAGAGAAACTAATTTGAAATAAGCCCCTTTAAATAGATCTTTCAAATACATCTGTTTTAGGTTGCTTTAAGGAGATACATATAAGTAGAATTGGGGCAAAAAGGTAAGCTATTATAGCAAATCAAAGGTTAGATGCTAAATATTAGCTCTCTTAGAAGAAAATGTTTGGAAAAAGCTAAAGGTATCAACACAGTGGTTTTTTTCCCCCCAACATTTCTCATCTTGTAAGTTGTCTGTGACCCTTCAGGTTTGTTAGCATTTCTAAGATACTGTATGAATTCTGAAAAAAAAAAAGTTATACACAATATCTTTTTAATCATTAAGCCACCAAGAAATTCTTAGAATTAAAAATTATACAGTATTAGAAATTGAATGAGTCTGATCATGGGAAATTTATGGAATGATCCAGGATTACTGCAGTTAAAAAATAAATATATAAATCCCTCAATCTACACACTCTATTGTAGAAGTAACATAAATGACTTAACTTAGGCAAGCAAACTACATAGAGACACTTAAAGAAATCATAAAGAAAAATAAGTACAAAATCATGCAGTAGAAATCCTTCCGTGAATATCTCTGGGGGAAACACTTTAATTTTAATATTTTTCCTGTCCCTGCTCTCCTTTTTTTTCCCTTGGTTAGAGAAATTTTTGCTTTAGGGAATGTGTGTTTGCCAGAGAAATGGAGATACAGGGGAGGAGGTGATGGCCATGTTGTAATCCCTTCTCCTCTATTCTCCTCTTGGGATCTTGCGCATGCACGCACATGCAGCCTGCGTGAGTTTTAAGCCATTGGTCTGGGACTTAAACTACAGTCAACTACATGGGAGTCCAGTGATGTAACCATGACACCATCTGCTGGTCTCTTTCCTGTCCCATATTAATCCCACACTACTATCCTAGTAGTTGAAATCTATTCATGATTCAGTTCTTTGGATTAGGCCAAAAGGCCTGGGTTAACACGATAATCTGAGGTGTCTTCAAAAAAGTTGTGGAAAATGTAAGATGATGAAAACACAATGCATGGATTCAAAGGTTTTTTTGCATCACGATAAACTTGTACTTCAATTCCATTTTCCAAGAACTGTTTGAAGTTCTTTCATATAAAGAAAGAGAGAAAAAGCTGATTAACTTGGATGTGTAAATAGACTCACGTTGGGAGGCCTGGCTTGTCAGTTTGTGTGATTTTCTACACAAGCCTGACTCACTTGACTGGCAACAATGTCACTTCATATATTCTGTGTAGAGGGAAATTTGGTGATTTCTACCAAAAATAGAGCTGCACATACCTCTTGATCTTGCTAGGACAATAACGTACAGACATACCCAGAAAGGTACCAATGAACAGAGGAGTCCTCTGGTCACTCAGACATTCAATCTCATGTGTAACAGCGAGACAAGATAAAATAAAACCAAAGCAGCCTACCAGCCCTTCAGCGCAGGACTGGCTAAGAATATCATGACACACTTTTACAATGGCTTATTACAAAGCTGCTAAAAAGAGGGGAAACTCCCAAGCGCGGATTTGAAAAGTATTCTAAGATCTATTTCATGAGGAAACCAAATTGTAAAACACTATGACTTCATACTTTTGTAAAATAAAAAAAATTATGAACATGTATGTATGTGTAAAAACATTTTTTTTTCTGGAAAATACAAAAGAATTGTTTAAATGGTCCTTCTACCGAGTGGAATTTGTGGTGAGAGTTTGGACAGCCCTTTTTAATATCTTGGTGCTTAAAAGGGAATTTTTCCTTCTGCTGATAATCTGAGGAAACCCCGGGGTGGGTTTATTTTTTTCTTTTTTTTGAGAGGTTTTTGCTATAGGACATGTGCACTCACTAGAAAGGCAGAGAGAGACAGAAAGCGAGAAGGCACCCCCCAGGGGGAAAGGCCACCGCAATCCTTTCTCCTCCATTCTCCTCTGGGGGATCTTGGGCACGCTCGCACACGCCTGGCATGAGTTTAAACCGCCCAGTATGGGACTCAAACCGCAGTAGACTATGTGAGTCCAGCGACGTAACCATTATGCCATCTGCTGGTCCCTTTTCCGTTTTATCGAGGGCGTTCTCTGTAGCGCTTCCTTTCAGGAACCGGTTTCTGTGTTTCGCTCTATTGGACAAGAATGCTTCCCATCCCCACGCACCTTTCAGTATCTACAACTACCGCTTACAGCCTTTCCTGTCCGCTGTGCGTTCTAAATGAAATCTACACGATCCAAGCGAAAGGGCACACGCTCCAGAACTGCCCTGATGTTAGGCAGTCGCCCGATTCTGCCAAATGCCAAAGGCAATTCTAGGGTAGGTCCACTGGACTGCAGTCGGTTGTCCATCCAAGATCAAGAACAGGGTGAACACACAAGAAGGACCGGGCAGGCACCGCGTGGGCGCGCGATTAGCGTAGCCCGCAGGCACCCAAACTTACAAACCTGCTCCTCTGGTATCGTTCACGCACCAAGAAGCAAACAAGCAAACGCCACCTTTTCGCATCCTGCTTCTCGACATCCACGGTTCCTGGGCAAGGAAACCCGGAGCCCGAACCCCGCCCAACTTCGGAACCCGTCCCGACCGCAATCGCCTAGGGTACCTTAATGGATTCCTTGGACTCGTCCATGTCGTCCTCCACTCCCTGGTAGACAACGCTCTGGGGCTCCTTCTTCTCCCCGGGGCGCAGCATCTTCCTCAGGCTGCGCTTCATTGACCCCACCCCGGACGCCACCTGGTGCCGCTGCTCCCCACGTGCGCGGGCACCTACGGGGAGAGAACGCTGTGAGCGAGCGCCGGCGGCTAGGGTCCCTCGCTCTGCGGTGTCCGAGCCTGAGCCCGAACTCTCTGGCACCGCGTCGTTGGAGGGTCAAGAGAAGCTCGCCGGGCAGGCAGCGGGAGAGAACTTCTGGAAGGACTTCTCAGGCTAGAGCTACTTGTAGCACAGGAAGCAGGCGGGGCGCGGGGAGGAGGCAGAAACGCAGACCTCATTGCCAGAAGGAAGAGAGGGTGGCTGCGTGGCGTCTGCCCAGGACTCGCCCTTCAGAACCGATCAGTCCCGCTGCCCTGCAGCTGCCGAAGACCACGCCCTGGGTCAAGCGTGTCAGGTTGGGATGCATCTAGCAAATCTGTTTTAATGAAGACACCAGGAGCCCGCATTATTGCCCCTTCCTTCCATAGCGTGTGTGTTTAAGAGAGAAAAGAAAGAGAGAGAATGAGAAAATAATTGGATGCGTTGGGACGATTTTTAGATTTCAACATCCTCTCTCCCCCAGTTAAAAGCCACTGGACTGGACCTGTCTTTTCCGTGCCCACCTCCTTTTGGGGGCCTCCTTGATTTGGACCTAAGGGTTTCTGGCAAAAATTCTCTTTGCAGAAGTTTGGGAGAGCAGCCAGCTCCTAGCACTGGTTTGAGAGACTGGATTAAGTCCCTTCGAATCTCAGCTCCCATTTCCTGTGGAAAACAGTCCTAATCTCCCTCACGCTTTGGTGTTCAAGAATGGTTAATGAAAATGACAATCAGGTTAAACATAAGCCAATATTGCACGGATGTAAGCTTGTTTGCCCTCAGCTGTTTGACTTTATCTTCATGGGCTTGCACTGTTTATTAACCAACAGCATAGGTGTAAATTGTGTGGTCTGGAAGGTATTCCCTTCCAAATGAAGAGACTAGTTCTACACTTGTGTGCAAGGGAGCCTCTGAAAATGCTCCCGGTATAGGTATATTTAGCTACAGGGCTAAAGACGTCTTCCTAAGGCTGATTATACTTTGCATAAGACAGAACTTAGTTTTGACAGTGTTGTGCTTTGACAAACTGTGCCCCTTGATAGATCTGGAATGTCATATTCACCCGCTTTACCACAGCACTCAGGAGAGATTTGTGGACTGCCTGACCTTGGGACTACCACAGGCTGGACTGAGGAGTGGGCGAGTGGGAATGATGATGCTGAAGAACAAAATCTTCAAATCAAATATTACAGTTTGCCACCAATTCCACCCCTAGTGTGGAATTCTTTGGGTTATCGGTATCCAGTTCATAAATGTGGCTTGCCCAGCACTTGGTGAAGGTTAGATGTCCAGCTTCACCTCTTCCATAGAGTTCCCTCCAGTGTCTCTGCTCAGGGTGCAGATTAGGGACCAGGTGCTCCCTTTGCTGTGATTTAATGCATTTGGAAAAACACAAAGAAAAGCACCAGTGGGATGGGTATTGAGAATAACTTCCATTGAGCCACTTCTCTCTGTCTGGCATTTTAGATACCACCAGGTCCACTTTTTAAAATGGAAATGCCTCATGGGAACTTTATAACTTATTTGTCATTATGAATTACTTTGATCAGTTGCTTTTTCCCTGAACACTTAGCTGAAAAGGGTCACTTAGGCAAAAACAAACAAACAAACAAACAAACAAAAAACAGGGCGTAAAGAGGAGTCTCTAAGGGGTCATTTTGGAAGCTAGGGTAGAGTCATGGTGGCCAGCATCAGATGGCTGTGTCAGCCCTCAGAGATGCAGAGCCTAGGAGGGGATAGCTCAAGGCCGGGTGAAGGGTGTCGGGTAGTGCCACTCAAGGTAACACCCTCCTTTGGGACCTCCCTTGACATCAGCTGCACCGTACAGAATTTCTACAGAATATCTTCTGCATTCATGCTTCTGTACCCTATTTACACCCTCCAAAGTTCATACTTTTTAACTTGTCTTCTCTGCTTTAGCTACGAAAAACATAGATGGTTTGTTATCAATCTGACTTTTTATCTTCCTTTCTGCTTATGAATACAGAAAAATTAAATTGAAAATTTTCTTTTTACTTTTTGCCAGACTTGTCCATTTCAGGCATTTTTCAGGCAATGTCTTTCCAAGACCTTCCAGTAATTCCCACAACTTTATTTTTTTTAATTGTGAAATTATTTCCTACCCATCAAAATATTCTCTTTCTTGGGCAGGGCTTCCTTTTTAAAGTACTGCAAATCCTGTCCTTAAAATGCATAATATAAATAAGAATGAGATGATATCTAACCACTTCCGATTATGATCTTATTCCCTTCACAGTTTAATTATTGATGAATAGAAATAATATTTTTAGACCAACTGTAATTTCAAAGTAAGGATAGATATTAGAGAAAATAAACCTTTATACAAATTTTCAGAAAGTAAAATTTATTATCAAGTTGTGTTTCAATATTACATAGAAACTTACTCAAGAAAATGAATAACAATAACTTTTTTTTTTTCAAATTTTGCCATAGGGTGTGTGTGCTCACCAGAGAGAAAGAGAGACTTTCAGAGGGAAAGTGAGAAATCACTCCCCTTGCGGGGAGCAGCCACACCACAATCCCTTCTTGGGGGGATTGTGAGGAATGCCCATACCACATTCCCTTCTCCTCCGTTCTCCTCCTGGAATTTTGAGCACGCACAGACATGTGCCAGGATGCTTTTCAAGCCACCATGTCTGGAACTCCAACCATGGTCAGCCATGTGGGAGTTCAGCACCTTAACCACCACACCAATAACTTTTATTTAAATTCTGAGGGAAAATAAATATAGTTATATGGATTTATCAGCTCAATAACTTTTTACAAAAAAGCCTAAATTATCAAAAATGATCTTTCATTATTTTGTTTCTTACATTTAAATAAAATTGTTCCTGTTAACAAGTTAATTACAAAAGAATTTACTTTAAAGCCATCAATCCAAAAACTGTATATTGTTATTAATACCTATAACTAAAATAAAACTGTTTTGTTACTTTAAGTGCCTTAATTCAATAATATAAAATGAAAAGAGGCCCAATGAACCTACTAAAAAACAGAATTTTGTATTGTGTGTTTTAAATTAAATATACAAACAAAACATTTAATAGATACAAATATGAACAGTTATTTGTTGATGATAATGTATGTGGAAATGTCTTTGACTTGACTAATATGTACCATATTCATGCTGGGAAAAACCATGTTGTACACTGTAAAAATGTACAGTGAATAAATGTAAATTTAAAAAACTTAAAAAATAAAAAGCATACAAAATTCATCCATTATAAGTATTCAATCTGATGATTTTGTTTTTCTTTTATCTTTTTTTTTTTTTTTGAGAGTTTTTGCTATAGGACGTCTGTGCTTGCCAGAGAGAGACAGGGAAGCTAGAAAGCAAGAAATCAGCCCCCAGGTAGAATGGCCATGCTGTACTCCTTTCACCTCCATTCTCCTCTGAGGATTTTGGACATGCATGCACATACATGCCCCCAGCATGAGTTTCAAGGCACCAAGTCTGGGACTCAAACCACAGTCAGGAGATCTCATGGTTTTAATCAGTATTTCCCTATGGTTAATGATACTTCCCATGGCAACCAGCAGTTGGCGTAAAGGCTGTGTCACTGAACTCCCATGTAGTTGACCACGGTTCAAATCCCAGACCCGGTGGCTTAAACTCATGCTGAGCACATGTGCGTGTGTGCCCAAGATCCCAAGAGGAGAAGAGATTGCGGCGTGGCCCTCCCTCCTGGAGAGTGATTTCTCATGTTTTGTCTCTCTGTCTCTCTTTCTGGTGAGCACACACACCCTGTAGCAAAAACCTCTCAAAAAATAAATGATACTGCCCATGTTATATGATTATTAGTGATCTATGTTTTCTTGATTAAATATTTAATAAATTCTTGTGCCTCTTTTTAAATTAAATTGTCTTCTATTACTACTGAGTCATAAGAGTTCTTTATTCTAATTATTTATTTACTAAAAGACTTGCATTCTTTTAGTAAATAAATAATTAGCCATTTTTTTTCAGCTTGTGACATCTCTATTTTCTTAATGGTGTCTTTTGAAAAGCAAAATTTTAAAATTTTGATAAAAGTCTAATCTGTGGCCCAACCACAGTGGTTCAAGCAGTAGTATACTGAGCTGCAGTCTAGAAGTCATATAGCTATCTCCAGGTTCAGATCTCAAGTCATGCTGAAACACACTAGATACAAGCATGCCCCAGATCCTGACTGGCTGCAGAACTCGAGGAAGGGGACTGTGTCACGAAGAGACCCTGTTTCTCTCTCTCTTTTTCTTTCTACCTTGTATAGTGCTATCTTGATTCTCTTACTGGTATTTTGTGACTTTTTATGTACAAGTCATGCATGTGTTTTGTTAAATGCATTTCTATGTATTTTATTAATTTGAAAGTACACATATTTTTTATTGCCAGAGGACACATGCACTTTCTGGAGAAAGAGAGAGACAGAGACAGAGACAGAGAAAGCACCTTCCAGTGGGTCATGGTTTATAGTATACTTCTTTTTCCTCCATTTCTTCATTCCAGCAGGATTTGGGGCACACTTCCAGAAGTTCCTGGCATGTTTCTCAAGCCATTTGGGGCTGACATTCAAATTGCCACTGACCATGTGGAACCCAACTGAGCTATGAGGTTGGCCAGTATTAATCTATCTGGAATGAAATTATTTTCTTAATTTCACTTTCATATGGCCTGTTGTTAATATTAAGAAATATAATAGAATATTCCCATTGATCTTGTATCCTACATTAATACTAGTTTTGCTCATTAAATTTACTAGTTTCCTTTAGATTCCTTAGAAATCTATATACATATATGATTATGTTTGATGCTTTGAAAGACAACCTTTTTCACAACTGTATGCCTTTTATTTCTTTGGGTTCTCTCCCTCCCCACCCCACCTTAGTACACTGGTTAGATGCTTCAAGACATTGTTAAATAGAAGTGCAGAGAACAGACGTCCTTACCTTTCTCCCAATCTTAGGGGAAAAGCATTTTCTTTTACCACTATATATAGATTTACATAGATGCCTACAGTCAGTTTGAGGAATGTCTCCTGTATACCTTCCTACTTGGTTGAGGGCCTTTAATCATGTACGGGTGTTGAATTTTGTCTGATGCTTTCTCTACAGCTATT